TTGGCAGTTTCACAAGCTGAGACTCTGTTGTACTCATCAGGTCCTATGCCACACATCAAGATTTTCTTGGCACGGTAATTCTTTTCTACAGCTTTTCTGTCAATGTCGTTGTACTCTCTTCTTCCTTTCGGCACCATTTGCCCTGTTTCTTCAATCTTCTTTATGGGAACATGTGGACCATCACATATAATGTCCCACACTCTGAATCTTCTGCCATAATGAAATCATGCATCCTGGTCTTCCACCAGCCGTAGTATTGACCATTGAATCTGGGAGGTCTATAGGTTGATTGTCCTTCTTCAAAGCTTGGTGGAGCAGCTATTGAGGATTCCTCCTAGGTGTTAGCCTGATAGGAGAAACCTGCTCTGATACCAATTGTTGACTTATGTGAGGCCACCAAACTATAGAGTACCTGGTCCTCAATGAGACTGATACGTAGAATGCAGTAAGGACTGAATGTATAGAAGGCCAAAGATTTTCTACGTGGAAAAATCCCACACAAGGGGATCAAAAAACCACGACCTACACCTGTAGGCTTTAAACTCAACTAACTTGTAATCTACCTATTACAAGCCATTTTGCAAACACCCTTTTGCAAAGACTTCAAACTAACTTGTGATGCACCACCACAAGCCACTCTATGACTCTCCTAGTTACAGAGGATTTAACTTATGACTATTCCTAGTCACAACATAAACTCTAAAGTTTACGAATTTGGTTTGTTCCTAAGACAACGCTTCTAAGAAAGCAAACTAGGAATTACAATGTAGAACAATTAACAATATTACAACTCAACTATGGACGTACATAAGACTCGGTTAGAAACTGATCCTTAGTGGAGTAGTCTTCTTGTTCTTGACACACCAGTGACTTCAATGCTAGATGAACTTTGTTATGCTTGAGAGAATATCACTGAATGCACAAAGAATAGTATATCTTGCACCAGGTTGTTTTATCACAAAAGATGTCACAATAGATAGTGATGTCAACTCAAGGTGTATACTTCTTCCCAATGAGAAGTGACTGTTGTACAATCTGCACAACCACTTCTGGGCAGTTGTGTTCCAGCTGGATAGTGGGCTTTGTACTTCCTGTCAGGACACACCAACAGACCAGGTCCTAGTTGTGTTCCTCTTCTGTACCAGTTGCCAGATGATTACTTTCTTCTGTCACGTTCCAGCTGTGTACTTGACTTGTACTTTTTGTTAGAGAATCCTAAAGCAGCAGGTCCCTGTTGTGTTCCTCTTTATCGTGATTACGTACAGTCACTGACTTGCTTCTGTTGGAGAACCTTAAAGGGCCAGATCATCAGGTCCCTATTGTGTTCCTCCCTTTGCTGATTTTCAGGCTTCGATCAGTTCATATAAAATGTGTGTCCTGTCTGTCAGGTGCTCTATCTGGTTCTTCATGACAAGTTTGTTAGATCATCAAAACATAAAATACTGAAAACCCACCACGAACCGACGAGACTTTTCGGTTGCTTCTGCTGCTTACGTCATGATGTATCAAGGTGAAGATCGAGAGCTCAAATCGTTTCTTGTCATTACTCTCCAAAAAACGAGGGGACTAGCTGTATACAGTCAAAATCGGGCTTGCCCTTTCTATATGATTAACCAAGACCGGGGCATGGCAGGCCAAGGTTCGACCCCGTGTCATACCGGACCGTGACACAAAGTTAGATTGCCAAGCTCGTGACTCAGGGACCGATCGAGATCGAGATCAGCCGAGACCGAGCGGGATAGGGTTTAAGAAGAGGCCGATTAATTAGCTAATCATGGGATTTCTTACTGTATTTAGAATTGTATCAAATGTGGGACTCCCCTACTATATAAAGGGGGTCTGATCACTTATAAAAGGCATCATATTCACGCTACACAAAGCAATATACTACCTTTCTCTTAAGCTTTCAATATTCTGCTGCTCTGTTCATATTTTCCTAAAGAATATTCGTTTGGTTCGAGGGCGACCTAGCTCGAGGGCCAAAGCTATACATTTAATTCAGTTTGCTTTTATTATTTCAGTTTGCTTTTATTTCTATTTGCAGTCAATTTCAATATCAATTTACATATTTTCTCCGTTTGTGCCAAGTAAAATCACGTGTCCTTAAAATCACGTATAAATTCAAGTGTTTTCCTTTTTTAGGGTAAACAAAAGCAACTTGGCATTAATCGCCTATCCTCCACCATTCTATTACTCACCATGTTTTTTTATAATAAGAAGCCACTAGACAGAAAGAATAAAGGTCGTTTTTTGATTAAAATAAGGAAAAAGGCCAAATATACCCCTCTACTTTTGTATATTATTCATATCTACCATCCGTTGTACTATGGGGCCATATCTACACTAAACAAAATGCACATTGCAAGTTAACAACAAACGCATATGTGACTATACAATAGGTACATCTTTTAAAATCACATAATAGTAAACGGTCCACATGGCAGGTGACCGGGCATATATATATATATATATCACCTTTTATGTGTTCTAGATTTTAAGGGATTCAATCCCAACCTTAACTGGTATATCATGAGAATAAGCAACATTAGAGGATTCTTGAAGAATTTTCTATTTCTTCAATATATGCCAATGTAAATTCTCAATTAACTTTCGCATCATAATTGAACGGGGATGACCAACCGGTCATGCCAACTAATAATTGTTTCAGTAAATATCTAATTTACTATAGCATGTGATTCCATCATCATGCTTATATTTATGTAGTACAAATAGAAGCAAAACCGGGTAACCTTTTATATTTACCCAGTGTGATTATAGTAATATGAAGATATTCAATCTTCCTTTCATTTATAGTCTCAAATGCCAACCACTTTGGCTAATATATTTGAAACTCAAAAAATTTCTTTTGAGACTTACTACAATATCAATGTCATGAACAATTTCATCCATCCGGATAGTAACCAATTAGTTCTTCCGGAGCTCTTCGTTAATTTTGTACTACATGATCTTTTGTCACACAATGCATATGGTGAATGTCTCCTTCACGAAAAAATTATATCATAATAATTATCATGGTCAAAATCACATAAGCAAAATTAGTTCTTGCTTTACTTTTGCCTTTAATAACTTTTAATAAGACACGGCAAAATATTCTGGCGTACCACATATACGCGACCAATGACATAGTCATGTAACCACAATGTAAAATTCATTATCTTTATTTCTCTCAAATCCCCCTTAGAGGTGAGTTGTGGTATTTATCCAACCATATATAAGTACGTTATTATGCATAATCTTTATCACATGAAGTACATATTTTCACATTCACTTTCAGGAATGAGTCTGCAGTTAGAATGCTTATCACAAGTCACATTTTCAAGTAATGGACTATAATCATATGAGTGTGTCTCATATTAACAGAACATATCGATACATAATTCCTTCACCTTTGAAGCATTATTTTGAGAACCCTTATTGTTCTTCTTTTTACAATTACCATAATGATGACTATTATTATTTTGATCTTTGGCACGACCATGTTCATCGGTCAACCACTTGTGTTCATTTAGACTTATTATGCACCGCTATCACATTCACTTCAAGAATGGAGCAAATCAAGTGGGACAAGCTTCATGCTTTTTCATGAAAAATACATTATTTTTCTTTAGTCATCATTATATCATCAATATGGTGCATCGAGATTCAAACCCAATGCCTTACCCATATAAAGGCACATTAGGCCATAATGAGTTGGAACTTAGATCCAACCCTTATCATCATGGTGCAATAGGACTCAAACCCGATGTCTTATCTTTATGGTACGCTGGGACTTGTACCCGCCGTCTTACCCTTAACCAATGTATAATAGGCCAAAATGTACTATGACTCACCCTTGAACTTTTAATCATGGGGTGCTTTGACAATACTACATCGAAGGTCACAACAAATATGAAAAGCAGCGTAAATTACTTACGTTTAATCTACAATACTGTCTTTTTTTTAATATCCTTTTTATGGAAATCAAATTTCTAATTCAAATGCCTTGTGTCATCGCATACTTTCCATCAATTGCGGAAAAGTGACTGCCCACAAACACGTATAATACACAAGCAAATAAAAAGATTGGCTGCAATAGCACAAAAACTTAAGTCAACATTTCACATGATAGTCGTCTAATGTAAAAAGGAAAAAATTTTAGATCCCACTTGGCAAAGAAATTATCATGGCAAAATAGATAATTTTGAGATTAGTAAAGATAAAATATGAATGAACTAGAAGGATGTAAACGTATCTTGTATTAGCATCCAGCCCAGTGGCTTCCATCAATTGTCAGACTTCCATTTTTATAAGAATACTGCACAACATATACGTATATGGAGGTGTACGAAAATGAGAGCATAGTTGGTTAGAGCTTCATGCTGATAACGTGTTAAAAAACATAGCTCAAAGTAATAATATAAAATAAGAAAATAGACAAGAATGTAGGGAACAAGAGATGAGAGATTCTTATTTCTTTCATATATTCAAGTGTGTTACAAAATGACTTTTCATCCTCTATTTATAGTACTACATAGAGGTATACCAAAAGAATTCCATAAATATGCCATTAAGCATTTGAGATCATGGTGGAAGATCATGGGGGAGGTACGGGAGTTACAACCATAACTCCATAAGTAATACAGTAGTGGAGTTATGGAGATAATGGAGAAGAGTAGTGGGTAGTACTTATTTGGTGGTTATGGACATCCAATATAATTATATTTTATAACAGTAGATGACTTCTTCCCATCTATATAAACCTTAGTTGATATAATTACCTGGTCCCTATTGTTGGTATGAGGTGACAGATATCTCGTAAAATTGGTCAAATGGAAGTAGCCACTAATGCTCGTATTAGAATATGTTCTTTACATCACACCCCTTAAATTGCGACAACCCAATGTTAGCTGTTTTTTTTTTTAAATAAAAAAAATAAAAAGAGGCATCATTTTCAAGTGGGAGGCCATTCTCCACTAGAAATATCTCCTTTTCGACCACTACAGCGTTCTGCTGCTTCTCTTAACTGGTTGTCATTCCAACTTTACCAAACCAAATCCCAAATACATAAAAAGCCCCACAAAACCACTTTGAAATCACCTTTTTCCCATTCTGTAACTTCCTTTTCATTTTCAACTCCTTCCCAGTTACATATTCCATTCTTTCCAATTAATCCCATCCATTTTGCTTTAGTCATAGTCAAATAAAAGCGACAAAGAAAGAAAAAGCCAAAATCTTGTTCGTCAAGCCCAATATGCTTTCCTGAAAACCAGAAAAGAAAAAAGAATGGGTTGAAGAAACTTGGAACAAGAAGAAGAAGAAGAAGAAAAACGGTGTCGTGTTGGTAGGAGAAGATGGTGATAAGGAAATTAGGCAAGTATGAAGTAGGGAGGACAATAGGGGAAGGAACATTTGCCAAAGTTAAATTTGCACAGAATACGGAAACTGGTGAAAGTGTTGCAATGAAAGTCCTCGATCGTAGTACTATCATCAAACACAAGATGGTTGACCAGGTCTATCCCTTTTTCTTCCTCTCTTTTTTTCTTCTTATTTTTTGAATTTGGAATAATTCGAAAAATGAAAAAACCCAGCTGGATAATCCTTCTATTGAGCTTCATGTTTCTTATATTTAAGGTGCAAAGTGTTTTCCTTGCTTGGAAATGAGTGGGTGGTAACTGAATTGGAGAGTGGAGTGATTATTCCTATTAATTACTATATTTATTACTTACTTTTTAATTAATTTCTCGACTTGTTGTAGCCTTTTGATTTTATCAATTAATGAGTTAGGTTTTTGATTAATGAAATCAATGCAATAAGTTGATTCTCCCATTTAAGTCAATTAATAAACGTACTTGAAATTTTAGTTAATTGTTTAGAGAGGCTTTTAGTTGTTGTTTAGGATGTTAATTAACTGACCCTGCCATCTTGATTGGGTGGTTTACGGCAATTTGTGTGACTGCAAAGCAATTGAGGGACAATATTAGCATAAGAATGAATTCGGTTGAAGAAGGAAATAGACCTTTAGCAGCTTAATGAAGATCTCATATCTAAATATTTTCCGTATCTGATCAATAGATTCAGATTAGCTTATAGATCATTTTCGAGAATGTATACACGGTGCTGCTAGGTAACAGTCCTACTATGTTACCATAGTTCAAGAGTCCAACTTCATTAAAACAAAAAGTTAGAAGAGTCCAAGTCTTCTCTTCGAATGTCAATTTCTAAAGCATTTCGTTCCGTACATATACATTTGAATTTTGTAAACTTGTGTTGTGGCAACAGAATTTCTGTTATACTATAACTGATTTTTCTGTTCTCTAATAAGAGCTTTCTGCATTGTCATCTTGCAGATAAAGCGGGAGATCTCCATAATGAAGCTTGTTAGACATCCATATGTAGTTCGATTACACGAGGCATGTGCCAAAAGCAAGAGCCGTTGGCTTTTAGTTTCCTGAAATTCATAGTCTGTTTCACTTTTAGGTTATCCTTTATTGGTATTTGGAAGATTCTCTATGCTGCTGATATAAACAAATTTTGCTGTCAGGTTATAGCAACCCGCACTAAGATCTATATTATCTTGGAATTTATTACAGGCGGTGAACTGTTTGATAAAATAGTAAGTCGTACTTTAAAATGGACTAAAGAGATATTGCAGATTATTTTGCTTAAGCATATATTATTCTTTGACTGATCTTTGGTATGTACTTGTAGGTTCACCATGGGCGATTAAGTGAAGCCGAGTCCCGTAGATACTTTCAGCAATTGATTGATGGAGTGGATTATTGTCACATCAAAGGAGTCTATCATAGAGATTTGAAGGTATTTGTTGATAGAAATGTCAAATTGAGAAAGTAATAAATTATTATGCATTTAAATAAAAGTCTGACCTTTTTGAAATTTCTCAGCCTGAAAATCTTCTGCTAGATTCCCAAGGAGATCTGAAAATATCAGATTTTGGACTTAGTGCTTCGCCTGGCGAAGTAAGATCTCAAGGCTCTACCCTTTTTTCTATAAATAAAGCCTTCACAATTTTAGCAAAAGTCTTTATGCTGCTAACTGCTGTCAATAATGTTCTAATAGGGAGTCAACATTCTTAAGACAACATGTGGAACTCCCAACTATGTTGCACCAGAGGTTAGTTATGCAACTTCCTTATAGTAGTCTAGTCCTTTGTACAAGTATATCTTTGAACGAGTAGTTCGATTGATAATGTGTATCCTTTACTTTTATTATGGATTAAGATTCCCTTTTTTGTCCTTGCTATTGAAACCTTTTACTAGGTTCTTAGTCACAAAGGTTATGACGGTGCTGTGGCAGATATCTGGTCCTGTGGTGTCATCCTTTATGTTCTGATGGCAGGTTATCTCCCCTTTGATGAGGTTGATCTCACTACACTGTACGCGAAGGTAGTAGCTTTGCATTTTCACGGTTGCGTCCTTAATGGAATTCCTTACTTTGGTTTCAGAGCAATGTGACATGATAATCATGCTGACATTTTCACATTTCATCACAGTAAAAGAGGATTATTTTATAGCAAAGTTTTAATCACCAACATGTATGTTTATATTTTTTCTGCAGATTGAAAGAGCAGAGTTCTCCTGCCCATCTTGGTTTCCGGTTGGAGCAAAATCACTCATTTCTCGAATTTTAGACCCAAATCCTCAAACAGTAAGTACTTAATCAGGAATGTACATGTGGTAAATTGCGCCCATTAACATATATTGTTTCGGAAACTTATCTGTCAAAAATAAATTTACGTATTGAATTTGTACAAGATTGCAACTTATCCGGTCTGTTAGTATGTATTAACAAACTTGTCAAATAAAAGCAAGAAAGGAATTTTAATGTAAATCCTTTTCCTTTTCACCTCTCTTCTTTCCCCCTCTCACAAATGAAACCACATAGCTGTCCTTGGCACTCTCCCCACTATGCTTTTGGGTATAAGTCAACTTTCAGTACTATAGAGCTAGATGGCATCAAAAATATGTACTAGGTGTCTATGTGACTTAAAGCAAGTCATGCACTGCTTCATACGTTTAAGGGTGCTTCAATCTACTGTTTTGTGTCTTTTGAATCAGAAAGTACATTGAAAATGAAACGAAGAAAATTAACAAAAAAATAGAAGGAAGAAAAATAGACATATGTGCTGGTTCTAGGGAAGGAGGTAGAAAGAGAAAGTGAATGAACGAGAGAAAAGGAAAAGCAGAGTGCTTCACATTTTTGTTTATATTTCTTGCTTTCGTGCTGAAATTTCAGTTTTTTCATGATGATCTCCGTTGTCATGGACCAAGGCAGCATCCAGTAACTAGTTCCTTTTGGGTTTCCCCTTTCATCTTTTTTCTTTGTACCGTCACCATCACTGACAGTATCCAAGTGTCCGAACCATTCTTTTGTTCATTTAACCTTTTTCTGTATGATTCTCCCTTTCTTTGTCTAACATTCCTGTTTTACCTTTACATTTCCTTTCCATCTTAGTACTAAAATATCAATAAACATAGAACAACTCAGAAATACAAGAGGGGAAAGAGAAGAAGAAAGGAAGGAGGAGAACTGTTGGGATAGTAGCTGGCCATTGCAAAATGGATGGGGTGGGGGTTCATTTCAAGGAAAGGAAAGATTTAAAAGGAAAAAGGATTCTCCTTAAGTCTTTATTTCACCGTATTTAACTGACTTATTTTTAAAGTTTAACAGAAGTGCTAAGTTGCAACGTTTTAAAAAGTTCTGTGCGTAAGATGCTAATATTTTTTGATGGCTTCTTGAGTTATTTATTCTTTAAATTATCGTTGTATTCTCTTACTTGACTTCATGTTACTTTTGGGCTGTTTTTGGAGTGAAGTAGCTGTATTGAGGTTTAAGCGTTATACAGTAATATTGATCATGAAGAGAAATTTGGTCTTTTACAAAAATTTACATCTTTTTGCGATGGTTTATTACTGGGAATGTCTCTTTTTTGATATTCTGCTATTTTGTGCAGCGTATTCGGATCGAAGAGATCCGCAATGATGAGTGGTTTAAAAAAGGTTATGTTCCTGTCAAAGCTATGGAGTATGAAGATGTCAATTTAGATGATATTAATGCAGCCTTTAATGATACTGAGGTTGGTAAGGTTTTGAATTGCTGCTTTTGATTTATAAAACATTTTGCTGTTCAACTGGGATTTTAAGTGAAATCTTGCCAACTCTTGCTTGGTGGCAAGCTGGTAAGGATCTTCGCTGAAGCATCAGTTTGTACTTGTTTACTGCTAAAGTGGAATGTTCCTCTTATCATTATGTTGAGAATGTAATTATTTAATGTTGAGTGATAAAACATATAGGGGCTAACACTTGTATTGAGGATGGAAATAGTTTTGTAGAGGTGCTTTCAGTATAACTTTCTGCGTTATTCGGAATCTTGCTGAAATTTTCCTTCGGAGAAACAGAGGATATGGACCAAAAAATAAAAGAAATTTCAATTTGGTAGGGATTTTAGGGAGGGTATGGTATGATGAAAAATATTTCCATGGAGGTTCTAATTATTGATTGTTTATGTTGTTTTCTTTCGCTTTCCCCCCTTTTTATAGCATCATTCTACAATGTCTTATAGGAGGAGAGACCCAACGAGCAATGTGACAATGCGGATGCTGGGCCTCTGTCTTTAAATGCCTTCGACCTTATTATTCTCTCTCAAGGATTGAACTTATCCATATTGTTTGATCGCGGGCAGGTATTAGTTCTGAAACTTCTACCAACTTGACCATTCACAATGGAGTTCTGATTGTTTCTCTCTTTCATGGAATCAGAATAACTATAGTATCCATTAACATATTTATCAACCAGTTAAATATATAAGGTGCTGGTCCTAGTTGCTTTTTTCTATTAAGGTGCTGGTCTTCAACTAAGATAAGTGAAATGTGGATGCTGGCTTTACAGGATTCAATGAAGCAGCATCAAACACGCTTTCTTACGCAGAAACCAGCAAAAGTTGTTTTATCAAGTATGGAAGTTGTGGCCCAATCCATGGGTTTCAAGACCCATATCCGCAATTTTAAGGTAGACCAATACCTTTACTTATTAATAAGGGGGATCTCGAGTTTCATCACCTGGGTGCAGGGGCGGTCCGACGAGTTTCGTGGCCTAAAGCCAAACTTTTTGAGGGGCCTTAACTTTTTTTTAAAAAAAATTATTTGTTTATTTGAAGTCTATTTTTCTAGCGTTTCTTAGACACAGTTATTAATAATTTTCTAACAATCAGTAACCCCTAATAAGTCTTTCTTAATTGACAATATAGCTAGTCCATTTAACTTTTCTTGAGACATTGTTGATCTTATGTAAGATTTTATTTTAATTTTGAAAACTTCTTTCCGTTGAAGCTACGGTAACATGAGTTATTAGCATTATTCCATAAGCAATATAGGCACTAGAAAAAGAATCAAATCTTTTTATTTGACCGAGTGTATCAATTAAATTGTTATCTTCTAAACTATCAATATCAAATTGATTATTACGCTTTAAGGAACATTCAAGATTAAGGCAATATTTTTTTCAAATTTTCATCATCTAGTTATCGTAATTTTTACCGCTAAATAGAAAACTAAAAATATATTCATATGCTTCGAATTGTTCAAATCTTATTTGAAGTGAAAAAATAGCCTTGTCTGCTATCTATAAAGTAATCAACTCCAAAGGACTCTTCGAAAGATTTTGAGATTTTATTATCAACATTATCATTAAATTGTTACTTCCTATATATCATACGTTTCTTACGAAATTCAGGTTCGATATTCTTTTCAAGTGCAATTTTCTTGGCAGAAATCATAGAAGTTGCAAATCCTTCTTCTATATACTTGTTAATGAAAGAAATCAAACTTTTTCACTTCTCAAAAGTCAAAACCTTTTTTTAAACTTATACATGGTGTATTAAGGGTAACAAAAAATGGGGCCCCCGCAAATGTGGGGCCTAAAGCAGTGGCTTTACTTGCTTTATGGAAGGGCCGCCCCTGCCTGGGTGCCCTATGTCTTTGTTCCTTTCCGTAAGTTCTATGCTGCAGTTTTCTTGGAGAACCCTTAAGGTTAGTCTTTTTCGTGCATGTATGTCGTAGATGAGGGTAGAAGGTCTGTCCGCGAACAAGACTTCACATTTCTCTGTAATTCTGGAGGCAAGTTTACATCTTATATAAGCTGTTTCAATTTGTGTGGCACTCTTTGTTTGCTAGCTAAATGTTTATTATTCAACAGGTGTTTGAAGTTGCTCCTACATTTTTCATGGTAGACGTTCAGAAAGCAGCTGGTGATGCTGGCGAATTCCTTAAGGTTAGTTCCGTCCCGTGGATATACATTGATAATTTTTATTCCAAACATCCTCTTTCCTTCTTCTCTTATCCAAACATGCCTACATGCAAGTGCTTACACTAATCTCTACCGTGATTTACAGTTTTACAAGAACTTTTGTGGCAATCTGGAGGATATCATCTGGAAGCCATCAGATGAAACATGCAAATCAAGGGCTACAAAAACAAGGAGTAGAAAGAGATGATATTCGTGTTAAAGAATCTGTTTGTAATTTTGTGTTTGTATGAAGTTTACAGCATGTTGTAAACTTTTATAGATTGACATCTAACCGTTGAAGCCACGATAGGCTGTGAGTACTCTTTATAGTCGAGCCAAGTGAGGGCTAAAGCTCCCACGCTTTCCCCAGATTTTGCATCATTAATCATTTCTATGTGGTGACGATCTATCCTCTTAGAGCAAAAAGTAAACATATAAATACTTTTAGAGAAGAGTTTGTCAAGTTGATACATTTGACCAGCATCTGCGAAACAATGCAATTTTCTGGTTTCATGAAATTTATGAGAACAGCTGAGGCAATTGTTGTGATAGCCATGTTCTGCCCGACACCTGAGCTTTAGCAACTAACTCACTTTTCGAAAAATGTTTTCCGCCCTGGGCATCACCAATACTCCGGTGTTTTGTATGATAAGTAAGTACCAACAAAACTTAAACGTACGTTCTACAGAGTGGTGGTCAGGCCGACAATGTTGTATGGAGCTGTGTGTTGGCCTGTCAAGAGCTCCGATGTCCAGAAGATGAAGGTAGCAGAGATGAGGATGTTGAGATGGATGTGCGGGCACACAAGGTTAGTGAATGAAGTTATTCGGGATAAGGTAGGTGTGACCCCAATTGAGGACAAGATGCGGGAAGTGAGGCTTAGATCGTTTGGACATGTGAGGAGGCGGAGCACAGACGCTCCGGTCAGGAGGTGTGAGAGGTTGTCATTGGAGCGCCTAAGGAGAGGTAGAGGTAGGCCGAAGAAGCATTGGGGAGAGGTGATTAGGCAAGACATGGCGCGGCTTCAGCTGATCGAGGACATGACCCTTGATAGGAAGGTGCTGGGGTCGAGGATTAGGGTAGTTAGTTCAGTGGTCTCCTAGTCATACCGGTTGTATTAGTTCTGTTGGTATTAGATTTCTATGACTATCTGTCATTTCTTTCATTTCAGTCATCTGACTATCTGGTTGTTATTTATGCTGCTTTTACATGGCTTCTCGTTGTTGCACTTATTGTTTTTCTCTTCATTAATGTGGTGTTTATGCTTCTCTGTCTATTGGAACATTCTCTCTATCTCCACAAGGTAGGCGTAAGGTGACGTACACACTACCCTTCCCCAACCTTACTATGTGGGATTATACTGGGTTTGTTGTTGTTGATGACATCAATAATACGATTTTTGCTTAAGTTTCTCACAGCTTTAAGTTTCTTGCTGCTTTACTTATATGAAAATTCCAGTTATCCAATTCCGTAAAACTTCATCCAAAGTAGAGTAATTCTAGGTTGCCCGTTTGGCCAAGCTGCAAAAATCAGCTTATTTTGAAAAGTGCTTTTTTTCAAACGTGTTTTTCTCAAAAGTACTTTTGGTGAGAAGCAGTTTGTGTTTGGCTAATTAGTTTGAAAAGCACTTCTGAGCAGCAATTAGTGTTTGGCCAAGCTTTAAAAAACTGCTTCTAAGTGTATTTTTCTCAAAAGTGCTTCTCAAAAAAGTGCTTTTGGAGAGAAGCTACTTTTTTCTGCTTCTCCTCAAAAGCACTTTTTTTCCTTCCAAAAGCTTGGCCAAACACCTCAATTTTTGACCAAAAGTGCTTTTGGCCCAAAAAAAAGCACTTTTGGCCAAAAAGAAGCTTGGCCAACCAGGCTATAAAACGGAAAAAGAAAACAACAAAACACAACCTTGTCTCAGATGTCATATAAAATCAAAAGATGGTATGAGAAACCTTGGGTATAACTGATATAGCAATTGTAATTTAGAAAACAGAAGTCAATATGCTGAGATACCGGCTGCACCACACTAATCCAACCAAATTAATATAAAAGCCACTATTTATTTTTCTGATTTTCCTTTCATATGACAAGCTACATGATCTACTTTCAGTAGATCAGTCAATGAAGAACGTTTAGGACATTATGATATTGCGTGGAAATAGAGAAGAGACACTTGACAAGAAAAATGATAATCAAGAAAGTAAAGAAAGCCAAGGCTTTGAGAAAGAATTAAACAAGACTACCAAAATCCCCACAAGAACAATGTCCATTTACAAATTTGTGCAGCCTTTTACTATCTCTAATGAGGATTTTTCTTGAAGTTAGTTGTGAGATGAATTTCATAAAGCTGTGACAATCTCTACACATGCTAATACTCTTAATAACTCGGATGGGTGCAGCACTTGGTGTGCTCAGCAATCCAAATGCAACAGCCAACTTCTCACTGTGTCGACCTCTAGGAAAAGCTGCTTCATCATCTTCTTCAGTTCGCAGCTCCAAAGTTGTCTGTAACTCAAATCCCATAGTACTTGCTTTGTCATCCAAATCCCTTAAGAAATTGTCTATATTTTCATATGGAGGATTCAATCGATCACCTGTTCTAAATGAATGAACTTTGTCCCTGATGCTGATCCAGCTCCAATCCTTTAGCTTTCCAATTTTTTCGTCTTTCATTAACTTTCTCACCCTGGAAACATCCTTCCATCTCTCCGCTGAGAGGTACATGTTTAACAACAAGAAGTAAGCCTCTGAATTTTTCGGATTAAGGTTTAGTAGTTGTTCAGCAGCATAAAACCCAAGCTCTGATATCCCATGGCTTCTACAGCCGGCTATTAAAAGTGACCATATAAATTCGTTAGGCTCAAAATCCATCTTCTTTACGAAATCAAAAGCTTCATCTATCCTACCTAACCTCACAAACATATCAATCAAGCATGCATAATGGTCCATCACGGGCTTAATTTTATACTCTTTTTTCATCATGTCGAAATATGCCAATGCCTCTTCAACCAGTCCAGCATGGCTACACGCAGAGAGCACTCCCACAAATGTAACCTTGTTTGGTCTAGCTCCTACGAACCTCATATCCTCAAAGAGCTGCAACGCCTGTTTAGAGTAGCCATGTTGTGCGAAGGCGGTAATCATAGATGTCCAAGATATCAAAGTTCGCGTAGACATCTCCACAAAAGCTTTACTTGCCCTGTCAATGCTTCCACATTTACTATACATGTTAACTAGGGCAGTTCCCACTACAACATCAGACAAAAAACCGGACTTAATAACTTGAGCATGGATTTGCTCCCCCTGTTCCAAAGCAACCAAACTACTACATATAGTTAACACACTAGAGAAGGTGAATAAATCAGGCTTCATCCCTGATCGATGTAGTCTCAGAAAAGTGTTCAGTGCCTCAATACCACTGGAATGCGCATTGATGATACCATCCTCGGCAAGATCCATCATTTGAGCTAGACCTGCAATCATTGCATTCCATGTAACCAAACTAATTGTCTCCATTCCATCAAACAGCTTTTTTGCCTCTATAATCCATCCATTTTTCAAGTATAAGTACATAATTGAATTCATTACTCGTAAATTAGAACCATACCCTAGTTTAATGCTCAAAGAATGAATTTGTGATCCCATCTTTAGAGCCTGCATTATGCAACACATGCTCATTACGCTTGTCAATGTGAACTCATTAGGCTCCACATTCGCGCAAATCATCTCAACAAAAAGGCTTAATCCCATTGCAGAATCCCCATTATCTCCGCAGGCAGATATAACTGTTGTCCAAGAGATCACATTTTTATCAGAAATCCTCCGAAATGCTTTTACAGCTGATTCCAGATTGCCGCTTTTGCAATACAAGCTACAAAGAGCATTGCCAATACTTGTATCATCCTCAATTTCATACTTTACCACATACCCATGAATCTGCTTTCCTAACTCGAAATCAGCCAACAAAGCGCAAGCTTTGAATGCAACACCCAACGTATAATTCGTGGGGAACCCACCTACTTCCAACATTTCCTGAAACACGTTAATAGCAATCTCCGGCTGCGCATTGTGAACATAGCCAGACATCATGGATGTCCAGGTAACAACATTTCTTTTAGGCAAATTATCGAAAACCTTACGTGCACTATCCATAGACCCACATTTCGCATACACATTAACTAAGAATGTCATGAGAAACAAGTCCTCATGGATACCCATTTTGATAATGTGGGCATGAATTGCTTCAGCTTCTGAAACTGAATTATTCTTGATACATTCTTGTAGCAGTGGAACATAAGCAGCTGATTCCACTTTCTTTTCACCTTCTTTTATCAGTGAAAGTGCTTCTCTGAAGTCAAGATTGAATGGGTCCAAATCTTTATCCAAAATCATAGGACTATGATTTCTCTATCATAAATTAAACCAGAAAACAAGCAAAAATAACATGAGCACTTTGACATAAATGAAATTATTGGTATTACTCAATTTAAGCAAGTAGTAAAGTTAATGAAATAAACTAAGAGGCGAATTAACTTACCTTTTCTAATGGTAAAGAAGTGACTGTAGGTTTCTTGAAATCAGGTTCAAGCTTAAGGGTGCTGCCTACTACAACTGAAGGCAGAGAAGCCATGATTTCTGCCAAGTATAAAAGTGGAAAAAAGTTTTGATTTTAGTCCATTGTTCTTTGGCTATATATTTATCTGAATTTTGAAAAGAAGAAAGAAAAATGTTATCTTTACAGTTTTGATGTGTTTGGATGAAATTGAACTGAAAATCCTAATAAGGGAGACCGGTAGATATTGATTTCAGGGAGTTATGTGGACCCCACAAAGAAGTTATGTGAAAATGGATTGGGGGCGTTAATCTTAGCGGGAAATTAAAGGTTCGGATTTACCCTTTTACTTTTGAATATTGTCTACATCTAACCTTCATTATACTATTCGGTCAAATTTATCCCTACCGTTATACTAGCCGGCTAAATTTACTCTTACCATCATCAAACTTTTAAAAATTACCCCTCAATCCGCCGGGTAACCCAAAATCTCCCAAATCCCTTTTATTTAAATCACTTGTTCTTCTTCTTGATCCATTATTTTCAAAATAATTGGCATTACCTGCTTTCTTAATTGAATAAATAAACAAGATAAAGAAATATTAAAATAATGCAGTGGTTAGTAAACAAAGTAAAGTGAATTGAAGAATCTAAATTAGATAGCTTGTCTAAGTTGTAAAAGTATTTACAACACCCCAGCTTTAGTGAATTCGTTGGACAAAAGGTATGGAGACTTTGCAAGTATTAGTGATTGAAGTAGAAGTTCCTTGGAGACCAGCATTGTCGAATTCAATTTTGCTTTAATCAAATGCCTGCGCATTGTGCACTCTTAAGTTAGTCGACCGAACTCTATACTAACTGGACAATTACAAGATATATACGAATATACATGTACGTACATATGAGCAACCGATATCTCTAATACATGACTAATAGACCTATTGAATTCTGCAATGTGTGCATGGTTGAAAAATTATAAAAAATTTAAACCGATTCCAAACCCGTTATTAC